ACATCCACTGTGACTTGGCCAAAGCTGTGAACTCAAGAGGCATTAACACTTTGCTGAGGAATTCTGGGCCTGGCTCACTGTCATCCCCTGGCTCTGAAGGAAGGATGGGGAGGAAGTAGCAGGTACTTTGGCAAGATAATAATAGGGAATAAAATCTAACCATTTAAAATATGGTGATATATGCTGACTGTAGAACAATTCATCCAGTAATTTAAAATTTCACTCAGGAACATATTGTATGGCATAGATGATTTAAGCTTCAGTTCACACCTGTAAGCTATTTAGCTATAAGTCAAGATGACTGCAAAATATCATCACTTATCTAAGTAAGGACCATTAAAAAATGCAGAAGATGAGGGAAGTGGAAGGAAGGGAGGCCAGTTCCACACCAGGCCCTCTCCCAAACCAAGTTTTACAGCCCCGGTAGCTCCCCCAACTCTCCGCCACCCAGCCCAGGAAACCGAAGCCGTGTACTGGGGCAGAAGTGAACAACCCTCTCTCCTTGCACTCACCCCAGGAAACATGGCGGCCTCTCTGCTTACTCCTTCATTAAGTAAACATCTCCTCTGGGAAGATTTTTGAATCAGATACTTATATCAGTTTGGGGGTTAGCCATACTCATAGAGACTCTACCGGTGATGGGACAGCTGTCTGAGAACACACAGGCCGGGCCTGGGCTCAGGGTGACATGGAAACAGCTCACTGGTGTCTGTGGCAGTGAAGGGTCAGTCCAGGGAGCTACTGCGAAAATGTTCAATAAATACATAACACATTGTCTGTTTTATGTTGTATATATAACTATGTCTATAGTTTATATTTTATGTGGTAACATATAATAAATAATCATCTCTAATATATATTAACTTACACTAAATATATCAGATAGAATGATAGTTCTCAACTCAGTTAAAGGAAATAATGCTAAAGACTGGTCTTCAGAGCCAAGGAATGACGTCAATGACTTCACACCAGGATTTGAACTCTGAGGTGTTATTAAACCTTCTTCCTATGGAGGCCTTGCCTCCAGACAAACTAGAGCTGGGCCTACAGGATGTGCTATCGGCATCTGAATCAGAACTTGCCCAACAGGGATATCTTTTCAGGTGTTGGTTTTCTCATTCCACAGTTTATATCTGACAGCAGCAACAGGTGTATGGAAAAGGAAATGAGAATCCAAAAGAGCAAAGGCTACTTCCTCCTTCTGTCTTACGCTCTGGCTCGACTGGCAGCGTGGTTACAAGCTCACTGGCATGTGCAGCTGAGCAGACCGGCCCAGCTGTCCAGACACTTGGCTGCTTAGCTGTTGGGCAGGTGTTTGGCTGAGTGCTTGTGGTAAGGCCCAGCCTAGACTTGTTGCTAGCAGGAGATCCATGCTCAATTCTCAAAGAATACTGGGTGCTACGCTGGCACCCAGGGCAAGCTCAGAAAACAGTGGGTAATGCTACCTTCCTCTGTTTCACAGGCTGCAGAAGGATATAAATATCTAACAAGCCCAGAAAAATGTAAATTATCATATATGATTCATAAAAGGACTAAAAGAACAATAGGGAAAACATAGTGTGAACTAGACAGGCTTGGAAGGACTTCGCAGAAAAACGAATGCTAAACCTGAGGCCTGAATGGTAGAAACGATGGGCTTGGACTATGATGAAGGGCGTTCCAGGCAGAACAAACCGATCCACTAGGGACCTTCGGTGGCGGTGGGGTAAGAGAACAGAGCTCTAAACAAATGGATAGAATAGAATACCACCATGAGAGAGGTGTGAGGAAGGAGGAAGTGTGTAAAATATATAAATATTTTATTTATATAAAATACAATTTTATATAAATCTGGAACACGAACCAGAGTGATGTGATCTAATTTCTATTTTTTAAACAAAATCACCCTGACGGCTGTGAAAAGAATGGCCTGAAAGAAAGCAGCTGGAAATGGGACTGAAGAGGGTACTTTGAAGATGAGAAGAAAGTACTGTTGGTGGAGATGAGAGAAGCCGAAGTAACTGAGAAATGTTTTCACAATCAACTGGACGTGGAGTGATGAAGAAAGAAGTGTCAAGGATCTAGGTGGACACAGGTGCCATCTGCTGGACTGGGCAAACTGGAGGAAGAGCAGAATTGGAAGGGGCAGGATATGGAAGGCAAGGGGAAGGATAAGATTGAGAGTTCAGTGATGGGGCGTTTAGTTGGCAATACCTGTGAAATATTTGAGCGGAGATGTCAGGTAGACCACAGGACATGAGTCAGAGTTCAGGAAGGGCGGTAGGCTAAAGACAAACATGAGACAGTCACCAGCATTGGGAAGCATGGCCATAAAAGAATGTGAAGACACAAGAAAAAAGGGTTCAGATCAGAGACAAACACTCCTAATAAATGGTTAGATAGAGATGGAGGCACAAGCAAAGAGGACTGAGGTAGAGAACTCAGAAAGACAGGTAAGAGAGAAAAAAGGAAAACCAGAAGAGTGTGGTATGTGGAGGCAAAGGGGTGCAGGGCAGGGGAAGTGCTGAGGGAAAGTTGTCCCCTGTCTCGAATGCCCCTCAGGAATCTAATCCTAAGAGGACTGAGAAGCACCCACAGGCTGGGCAACACCTCGGTCTTTAGCAGTCTCAGCAGGAACAAATCTGACGTGTGGGAGCCCAGCCTACTGGAATGAGGGGAACGGTTAAGTGGGAGCGGAGAAGGGCAACACACAGAGTGCTAAGAAAACTGAAAAGTTTGGCTATGATGAAGAGAAGTGAAATAAGGGAGCAGCTGGTAGAAAGTTTGTTTTCCAAATAATAATGTTGGCATTTTGACAGTAAAGATCCAGTAAAGAGGAAGAAGGTGGGGGAAGAGGGACAAAAGACTAAAGATGTTGAGATGGCACATGGCATGAGGCCCACGGAGTGTCCACAGGCCTTGGTCTTTGGGGGGAAAAAAAGAAGCTTCCTTAGGCTGTGAAGAGATGGGATGCTTCTAACTTCTCAGTGAAGTGGGTAGTGAGATCCATCTCAAAGCCGGTGGGAGGAATGGGGACCAAACGTTTGAACAAAGAGAAGGTATAAAATCGCCATGCCATAAAATGGTAGAGTAAGTTTGAGAAATACAGTAATGCCACCAAGCAACACTTGAGTCTCTATTCGAGTTCGGTTGTCAAGAATGTGCAGTAACATCATCTAGCCCAGTCAGTCTTCACGTCTCTCGACCTCCTCTGGCATCTCTCACCCAAAGCCAGTTTCTGCCATTCTTCACATCACGTGATGACAGACAATAATCCCATCATCCAAGACCAACTAATCCCCTCACAGCTGCGTGAGCTGATCGTACACTTCAGGCCCCCAGTGTCCCCTCTTCTATGCAGAGCCTCTCTCCAGCCACAGAAACAATCACAGGAAGGATGATGTTCCTGCCCACGTTCCTGGTATTCCACATTACTATAGGTCTGAGAACATAACACAACTCTCCCTGGGAAGTGGGATTCAGCGTTGACCCTGCCTACTTCACTTTTGTGTAGAATCTGATGCTAATGACAACCAAATAGAATTTGTCAGCCATGCCATGCGTGGGCTATACAGAGATAAATAACTACATAAATGGGGAAGGCAGAAAGGTTCCCTGGGGACATGGTACCAGTTCCTATGCCCCACAAGTTCTCTGGAATGACATAAACCATAAAATGCTAGCAATCCCAAAACAAAGACATCTGAGGCCTCCCACAAAAGTTTTTTGCTGTCTCGGTACAGAACCTTTGAAAAGCATAACCTTCCCATACTGCAGAACTAGACAATCAACGCTTTGACTTGGTTTTGAGCTGTTAAAGAAAAATATACCTATTACCCAAATGGGCTCTTTGTTAATTCAAAGTCTGGGGCTAGACGGAACATACATAAAATTTAATATGAAAAAGCTGTGCAGTTTAATCTTGACAAGCAGGAAGCCAAGATATTGATGTGTAGCTTTTAATCTGACTTCAATTTCTGACAATATCTTTTTGAGCTCATTTTCTGGCACCAAGATCAAATGCCCTTATTTATTGGTCTCAAACAAAGAAGGACCTATAAAAAGGAATCCACATTCAACAGAAATCCTTCCACATATTACCAGTAGAACTTACTCAAACTGAACACTGTTTTTCTTTTTCTCTACTTAGTGGAGAACATGAAGAACAAGGAAAAATGTGTTAAAGTTCATTTTCCTTTTTCTTCCCCAAACTGGAATTTTAATTCTTGGTGTAGGTTTAGTTCAGCTGTAACTAATTCAGAACGTGAGAAGAAACTAATCAAAATATTTCCCAGAGAAAATAAACAAAAGCAGACAAACAGAAAACACAACTACCACCCCAGATTCTAAAAACTACAAGTAATGTTTCATACTTTCCCTAGTAGATATCAGCTACCATTCGGGTCATGGCCTCAAATGCATAAACAAGACATTTTCCAAGGTGAGTGTCAACTGTTTCAGAGACAGAGTTTACTGGGCAGTGTGGGAGGATCTCGGGAAAACGGCAATGGGTTTTCCAAAGAGCAGTGCACTTGCATTGAAGACCGTGGCAAGGCAAGGCAGGTGAGATGAATGGCTCCCATTCATCTTTTCTAATAAACAGAAAAAATGAAAAGAAATGCTGCGACCATATCTGCATATGCTTAAGCCATTTCTCCAGGGCCCCAGTGGTAAAGAAGTTCAGTAAGCTAAAGTTAATTCTTTAAAAAAAACACAGTGGAATTAGAAGAGCAGAAAGGCTGATGAAAAAAACAGTTCACTCATCTTAGGTAGAAAATGCTGCCACGAATATCAGCTTGGAATTACACCAGCTGTACTCTCTCAGCGTCAACTACTCGGAACCTGACAGTTCTTAGTTGGTGACGACTTACCTCCTCTTAAGATTTTTCTCTAGTGCCACCATCTCCGGGAGCGGGACACAGAAATCCAAAACCATGGCAATTCATACAACATTTAGATCCAACAAAATGGGACCACCCTTTTGCCCATAAAAATTGCGTTCAAACAGAATTTTCTTTTACCTTGGTCTTTTCACCAACGATGTTCTTTTCCAGTTCTGCTATCTTCCGGTTTAGATGGTCCAAAATTTCCTTCTCTTTCATCAGTTCGGTTGTTTCAGATTTCTGCTCTCCATCCAGAAGAGCACATTCCATATCCAACTGAGGACACAAAACAAAGCCCAGAGGTGTTTCACATTCAGGTCAATTCTTAGCTACTTACTTTAGAGGTGCATTTTTAACAGCTATAGATTTCAGAAAGTAACTACTGAATCAGCCAGACTGTGGGGCCTACAGACCATTTCAGAGAGCCCGAGTGAGGCTCAGGAGTCCTACAGAAGAAAGCTGGAGAGCCTAGAATATGAGAGAACTAGTTATTTCATTTTTCTGTGATGATCCCCTTTCTGCTTATTTCTCAAGAATATTTTGCCTATTTGCTTAGACTGAGGCTCAAGCATGAACCCTCTGGGGAACCACCACGTCTTTCTTTGTTTGTGCCTAGAGCATGGGAAGTAAAAATTACACTCAGCCCAGCATGCAAGCACTGCATTCCTTAGCGATGCCAGCAGGAGGGGCTTGCAGGGTTTCTGCACAGGCTGACAGGTGAGCAGCCCCCTGCCACATATGGTGCTGTCTGCATCATCTGGGAGTACAGACACGCAGATCCTGCCTGGGCAGAATTATTTGCTTTGTGTCATTCCATGGAGGTAATGTAGAAGTTGCCCCTCCCTTCAGTTATGGTTATTAATTCTGTAACCAGAATTATAGTCTGTCTGTGTCTGTCTCCTCCCTGGTTTGCAAACCTCTAGAAAGCTAGGTCTATGTTCAATTCATATGTAAATCCACTATACGACCAACATGACATCCAATTCATAGTAAGCACGCTCAGAAAATATTTGTTGGATTTCTGCTTAAATGCCTAAATTCACGTTACCTCAGCTCAGATTTCCTAGCAAGTCAGAAAGCATATACAGCAAGTCCTCACTTAACATCATCAGTAGGTTCTTAGAATTGTGGCAAAATGATGTTTAATGAAACCCAATTTACCATAGGCTAGTTGATATAAACAAAAGTTCCTACAGTATCTCATTAACGTTAGAATGAAATGAAGTTGAACAAAACGTTATTTGAGAACCTGCTGTACTAGTTACAACAAAGGCAGTTTATACATAAAGCACATAAAATGGCTGAATGTCTCTTTCTTATTAAAAAAAAAGGAAAATGAGATGTAAAAAGAAGGCAGTTTTATCTCACATATGTACCTACTGAACAAACAATGTATTCTGTTTCCAATGCCTAGACCCTAATGGGCAGCAATATTTTTAAGCTAAAAAACAAAACAAAACAGGGAGTTGGTAAAAAGTGAACTCATGGCTTATACCTCTCGGGAAGATTCATCCATCTGGTCATTTATATCTTTGATTTTTTGTTCAAGTTCCTCGAGGTTGTTCAGGATTGCTATCCGGGCCTCTTCCATGGCAGCCAACTCCTGAATCTTTTGTTCCTCATTTATACCCTCTGGCGTCTGTAGTTAATCAAGGCAGAAAAGAGATACTCACACTTCAATCCCAGAATTCCCCAATTCACAAACCAGCCCCAGGTCTAATGTTTCCATCTCCATGCCTATTTGGAGTCTAAAAGCATCCTTGATGGTTTAGTAGGGACTCTGCATTTTCCCACAGAAACACTCAGCTCATAGTACACAACTTAAATTTATGAATTCATATCTTTTTAAAGCTGAAATAACTAAGAAGTTATACGGATGAGGAAACTGTGGTCCACAGAGATTGCAGTGACTTCTCTAAGGTTACACACACAGCGGGGCACAGCAGAGATGCAGAATCCAGACGAGACCGGGGCATATTCCTCAGGTATCTCTTGGGCCTGCCTGGGCCTTTCACTGCAAACTCCACATCCCTCCCGTCTCCTTGTGAGTACACCTGCAACAGTCTCCAGAATCTCTACCATGCTACCGGGTCCCAGTGCTAAGGTTATCTGCATATGGGCTTTCACACTTATTGACTTTCTTTCCAACACAAGGTGGGGGAAGGCAAGGACACATCACACCTGGCCCAGGTTCACAGAAATGTTCCACAAAGTTAATAATTAGGACAAAACAGGCTTAATTACTTCTGTGACCCCCTCTCCAAATGATTTAAAACTAGACTCGATATTAAGTCAATTCACGTTTCACTTTTTGTGTTATCATACTACTTACAACCTATAGGACTTTTTTCCTACATAATGTTTAAGGCATTAACTAGGCCAGTGGCCTTTAGTGACGTGAGACGGGACACTGGCCATCATTCATAAAATGATTTCATGAAAAATTGAGTTCCTCAGTGAGAAATGAGAAAGTCAAGAAAGAAATTAAGTGAGAGAGGGCATATTTTTACTCCTGGACAGTTATGACAGATGCCCAGGGTGAAAAGGAATACTGATCACACACATAGCCAAAATACAACAGCTTGTCATTTTAAGAAGAGAATATGGTGAATTGCAAATAGCCTCTTCTTTTAAGAATTTCAGGTTAATTATCTTGTATATCACCAGGCAGAGACCAGTCTTTCTGTATGTCAAGGAATACTGGTATTTTTAAGTTATATTCCTCCTTTTTTAAAAAATCCTCTTTTTTTTTTTGTATCAGTAAAGTCAGTGGTTCCACAATTTCCCAATTAGAAATTAAAAGCAGCAGCTCAGATAAGTTATTGAAGATAATTCACTAATCATTAAAAAAAATATTCAAATTAATCAGAGCAACCATTAAGATGTATTGTACCTCACTAAGTTCACTTACTTTAACAATCCTGAAAATAGCTTTAAGGAGACAGGCATGGGGTTGTGTTCTTTATTCTTTACCCACTGAAGGAGACTACATGACTGAGAAGTCACAAGTATCTCAGGTTGATTGGAACAAGGGTGTGTAGACCTTCCAAACTTGGACATTTGGCTTCATACTCGCCACCTAAAATCTGAACCTTATTGACTAATAAAACATCTGTGCCCTTTTGATCACAATGAAGCTCATTGTCCTAATACTAAGGTGCCTGCTGCAGGCCCGAGGAATGCCGGTGACAGTGACTGGCATCCGAAATCACCGATGACTAATCCTAGCAGGAAAGCCTCAAGAAGGCCAGTATCCTGTTGGGTCAACGTTTCATATTAGATTTCAACTTCCAACATGTTTTAAAAATATCTCTCCCACAGGTGGAAGGCATGTGGCAAGAGAAAACAAAAAACTGAACAACCTGAAAAACTATAAAAATAGGTAATAGCAGTGATTATAAATATCTATATAATTCAAAGTTCCAAGAAAATTGATCACAATAGATATACTTAATGAAAAACAACTTGAGAGGTTGTTTATAACAATAAATATCATCTAGGAAGTGACTGGTTTTTAGTATTATTTATAAAAAACAGTGTGTCCAAAAAAGTATTCTAAAAGTCTGGTTTGTAATAATACAATGTGGTGAGGATATAGTTATCTCATTTTTATCCAAATTAAGAAAATCAATAGAGAGCCATGGTGTGGTGTCCACTGAGTATCTTCAGTTTTATGGTGAAAGAGAAAGCTTTCAATTTAATCCCTCTGGGATTTAAAAAAATTGTACTGGATAGGATTCCAATGAGAGTGACATGTTTTAATAAGCCATTACACATGGATATGCACCCTAAATATGCCATTTGGAGGTAACTTGATACACACAGAGAAAGGGGAGAGAGAAAAGGAACACACTTTGCCTCAGCCTCCTTTTTGTAGACCTCTTCTTAAAAACCTCCGCAACCAGCAGAGGCTGCAAGGGTGAGGGCCGTCCCCTGTCAAAAGAATTGCTCAGAAGAGTGAAAAATTCTCATAACAAAGAAAAAATTTTTAGTAACTAGATGAGGTGATGAACATTTACAAAATTTATTGTGGTCATCATTTTGCAATATATGCAAGTGAGGTCATTTACTGTATACCTTAAACTTTCAAGGTGTGGTATGTTAATTATATCTCAATAAAAGTACGAAAGAAATGGAGAAGAGTGAGCTACTCCTAACTTTCACCTCAGGTGGTGGTAGTTATGTTGACAAAAGCTAATTAAAATTAGCATATTTCAAAGGTCATCTGCATCTTTAAGTAAACCAAGTTCCAGCATGGTAGATCTACAGTTTCCTAAATATCACTAAAATCTTTGTTTTATCAAAATCAGATTAGAATGTTTTTCACATTCCTTTCTTCATTGAACCTTAGCTTGATGAATAACAAATGCTGTACTTTGTTAATAATTCAGTGAGCAGATTACTCAAAGAGGAAGGGCATCTAAAACTAATGGCCAGGACTTTTTAAAAAGATTCTTCTACCTCCTGGCTTGAGACAATATATGTCTGTCTTCAAAGAGTAATAAGCAAGCCCGGGCTGGATGGTTCAGTTGGTTGGGGCATTGTCTCATACACTATGGGGTTGTGGGTTCAATTCCCAACAGGCAACATTAATGTGTGTTAATAAAGGAAAATGTATTCCCGGGCTCCCATGACCGTCTCCCTCACATTCTGTTAAACTGCTGCGTGGTAAGCAGAGGAGCTCCTGATGTTTCCTGTCTCTCAAGGAGGCAGTCTTCCTTCTCGTGCACAGAGATGCTGCGCCAAGCTCCAGAGGCCTCCTATTCCACAAAAGCACAAGCACGTTCGAGCAGTGAAAAACATCTGTCACGATCTGCTCATTTCCATACCAGCAGCCTTCTTGTCACAGCCCTCTTCAGGAGGAAACCTGTCTTCAAAAAGACAGTCCTTAGAGAGAGCACACAACTTACCACCCTGACAAGACTCGCAGCTGTCCATGAAGGAAGAAATGTGAAAGGACTTAAGATAAAAAGGGGGCAAGGATTTCTGAGAAAACACGACATCTGATGACAACAGGTCAGATTGTCAAATGATGGCTCATTTACTCTGCCTGAACACCAACAACTCTTGATCTTCCTCCCAGATCCTAGTTTCTAACATTTGCATCATTCTAGCAGTAGAGACACCTGTTCTCTTCAGGGTTCCGTTGTACTGAGACAACTCCACGGAGTAAAGCAAATGTGGTCATTAGGAGAAAGAAGGGATGAACAGTCTAGAGTGTCATGGTCTTGGCGTATGCAACTGGAGAACTCAAGGTGGGTAAGGACTTCTGACCAGGAATATTCAAACTTTTTTTTAACAAGAAAAATCTTATTTCAGTCAAACAAAAAAAAAATGAAAACAAACACATGAACTTTCCTGAATAGTATTCCATGTGATAAATTACTTCCGGAATTTAGCATGTCTTTCTCTTAAACAATCAGTATGTGGTCCTTCTCTTATAACAAAAATACACCTGATGTATCTGTTTATTTTTGGTTCTTGGGCCATGACCACCAAGAATCTCAGAGTTGCACTTCACGGTCAGAGTTACTTAAATACATTAATTAATTAGTCTTATTTATCCTTAAATAAATAAATTCTTGTGATTATGGTATTGGCTTCTCCAGGATCTGCTTTTCCTTGTTATTTACTATCTTGGTGTTCTAATTTTATTGTAATAAAATATTGATCTTTTAATATCTTTTATTATAAGCATTCTTAAATCTTTTCTACAAAAACAGGTAAGGAATTTTTTAAAATCTTACAGGGAAAAAATTCTTAACCTGTGTGAAAAAAAAACACCAAATGATTTTCTTTGAACTCCATTTTAAAATTCCTTAAATTTGGGAGATATTTTGAAGTCAGCAAACAACCAGAAGATAAATAATAATTATGATAACATATTAAACTTTTATACTTCAAAAAATGTCGCAAAGAATGTAAAAAGTCAAAGTTACTACTCATAATAAAAGACTAATGTCATTACCATAAATAGTTATAACTCAATAAAAACAAGACATTTTCAAAAAATGGGTGAAGATCATGAATAATTGTGTCAAAATACAAATTAACAACTAAATATGAAAAGATGGCTATTTTTATGTGTATTAAAACAAGCTAATTAAAACACCTACTAACTTAGCGAACTGAAAGTTTTTGATAATACACAGCCTTAGCAAGTGTATGAAGAATAAGATGTTATCATGAAATAAACTTTAGTGAAAGTGTAACTCTTCTGAGAGTATAATTTAGAACTATTCATTAAAATAAATAATATTCACTCTATAATAATAATTCCACTTTTAGTAAGTTATCCTACAGATAACATTTGCCTATATCCTAGAATATTTGCTGTGTGTAGATTTTATTAACCAAAAACTAGGAACAACTTAGATTGCATTTCCAAACAGAACACTAGTCAACCATTGAAATGACTGAGGTAAAGCTGTGTATACTAATGTGCTAAGATGCTCAGGACATTTAGGGAGGGAAAGAATGAAGACCACTATGTGTGTGTGCATGTGTGTGCATGCGTGTGTATCTATGCCTATGATTTGGCTGTATATGCATAGAAATATTAGGAAACCATGCAAAATACTTTAACTGTGTTTATCTCTTAGGAGACAACTAAGATAGGACAAAATGAAGAGAAAACTTTCTTTCTACTTTCCTGAACTGCTACTTATTTGCAGTGCAAATTTATTACTTTATAGTAAACACTACACCTTTGCTGATGACCTCTTCAATGGAAGCTTCACTGAAAACATTTTGGAAAGCAAGCATCATAAAGTGTCTATAGTCTCTAGGCCAATGCAGATGCATTGTCCTAGGCCCTCAATCCCAGTCTTTGTGCTCTGCCTCCTTTACCTTTGGTAGGATACTTAAGTAAGTGGACTCGTTGGAAGCTTTCAGAAAAGCAGAGGGGGGTGGTGGGGGAGTCCTGGTGAGGTCCCTGAGCAGCTCCTCATTCACGGCGCTCCTGGGGGAAAGGAAGCTGGCACTGCTCTGACTGAGGCTCCCGAAGGCTGCCAAGTCTGCATCCTGGCCAGAGCCTTTCTGGTGGCACCTGTATCTGACATCGGGGCTCACCAGGGCTTCTTCAAACACAGACTCCTCATCAGAGAGCTGCAGCTTCTCAAGCTCCTTATTGATTTTCTGTACGTCCGCCACCGTGGTGCCAGTGGACAAGCAACTGTCAGGCTTTGAGTATTCAGCACAAAGGCTGAGGATCGTCTCCAGACGCTGTCTCTCCTAAAACACAGAGGGGAGGGGAGGTCAGTGAGAACAGAGACAACTCCAAATAGAAAGACTGAAGAGGCTGGGACCACTGGTGATTTCATCCCACACATAAGCCCACAGTCTCTGATGGATGCATTTAAGGATCCAGATGACACACAGGCTAACTGTCTGATTTCCCTCCCAAACTCACTTCTGGGCTGCCCCCTTTATCTGTGTATCCCAGTGCTGATCCTAGCCTGGAGCAGCACTCAGTAAGCCTTTTCTTGCTTTATCAATTATCTAAACACTTGAAAGGTTTGTTTTTTTTTTAATTTCCATTTTTTAAGCTCTTCACTTGCACTTCTCTCCCTGTACCTACCTACCTTCAACAAAACCTAACTCTTCCACCACTGCGGATTTAATATCTGCCCTTAAAAACAATCCTCTAACTTCTCATAGAATTATCATTCTCCTGTTAGACATACAAAAAGAAAAATGTGACTTTAAGAATTTTTTAATTTAAAAGGCATTAAGTAGGTCTTCATTTATTTTCTTGAAATGCTCCAAAGTTTTCAAAACGTTTTTTATGTCTTTCCACCATGTAAAGGTATTTTCCACCAATTTCTCACATAATTCAAATGATAAGGTGGAAATGTTGCATAAAAATAAAGAAAATTTTACATCATCACAGAAAGACATCAATGTGTTTCACATTCTGAGATCATCAAACCTTTGATTTATTTGTCTGGAAAATAAGATGATAATTCATTTGTTTTTAAAATAATCAATATATAGGCCAGTAATGTCTATACTGGTAGCACTAACTGCCACTCGCCAAACTCCCCATGCAAAACAAACAGATAAATATGATTCTGGACTCTAAGTAAATTTACTGTATATTTGTGAACAACAGGATATAATCGATGAAATGCTTATCAGAAGCCTAGATAGCACTGTTTGGGTTGGGGAATCTCAACATCTTCACCTTAATTCTAAAGCCTAAGTGGAAAGAAGAAAATAAAATCACAAAAACCATCTATTATGATTTCATCCACTACACTTATAAGAGAATTCAAAAGCCTTCTAAAGAAAAGCATTTTCCAAACTGGTTATCAGTAACAAAATAGAAACATTTTAAACAGCATTGGGCTGCTGTTTTGCATTTCTAACTGCAGCAAATCTGTAAAGATAAAATTCTGAAGGCAGTTCGCTTTTGAATAGTCAGAGGAGTATCAAATGGAAAAGTCAAATAAGTATAGACCAACATAAGTTCTGGTTTCCATTAGACATATTCATTAAATGCCGAGATAGAAGTCATTTAAATTGCATCCAACTTTTATCTGTCCTCTAAAGCACTCCTTCAACCGCACCCCGGCAAATGCGATAGCTTCACAAAAGGACTATTGAACCGGTTGCTGTAAACCGCCGCCTCCCTCTCACTGTCTGAACTCCTGGACTCCAGCTGCAGCTCCGTCCTCACGGCCTCTTCCCACCGCAGGCACTCACAGCCATGCAACCTCATCCCAGGCACTGAGGCACCCTGTTCATCCGGGAGCCCTGGTGCTTATTTATCACCACAGCTGCCACCAGTTGCCAAGCCCTACCCACCTCAGCTTTATGGGGAGGGACTGTAGGGAGGGGGTGGACTCAGCATTCATTGTCTTATTTTAAACTGCTCCAACAATCCAGAAAAGTCTACACAGGAATATGCACAAACAACCTGCAAGGGCATGTATGTAGAAGGGGACAGGAACAAGATGTTATATTTTATACCCTTTCTCAACAGCATCTGCATTAAAGGCTGATCTCCAAAGAAAAGTGTTCTTTCTATCCTGTAGGTAAATTAGGTTGCAGTCTTTAGTAATCTTTCTAGATCATAGTGTGTATACATTAGTCTGGACATTAATTCCATTTGGAATTTCCCGAAAGTTGTCAATTTCCATTTACCAGGGCTCCAAGGGAGTTGGTCTTCAAAAGCATAAAATGTACTTCTGCCTCGCCTGTAATACATAGCAAAATTCCTCCCACATCTACTTCCCAAAATAGTTTCTTTTGCTGCCAGTGCTATTGCTTAATTCCAGAGGGAATAAATGATCCCAGCCTTAAGATGAATTCTATTTCAGAGAGTGAAACGCAGCATTCAAAGGCTTGTGCACAGGAAGTTTGGTATCCTGGTATGTGCTTCTCTCTATTCTTATCACCCCATTCACAAGCCAATCTGTCCAGGGTTGAATCTCTCTCTCTTTCTCTCTCTCTCTCTCTCTCTCTCTCTCTCACACACACACACACACACACACACAGCCCTGCTGCCCATGAGTCTGTAAGACATCCAAGCCATGCTGAGACACACAGGCCCCATGTAAGCAAGCACCAAAGAAAAATGATGAAAGGTGCTTCTGAAGAAAGTCTTCAAGATATTTCAGAAAGCACTATAAGAAGCCTTTTAAGGAAAACCATGAACAAAAGTCCTCAGACAATAATTCTCCCTTGAGCCCTCTTCACTCCAGAAGTTCTGGAAGGAACTTCTTTGTTCCCATTCATCACACCAATATTCTCCTCTCTGCATGACCTAAAACCAGGGCAACTGCTCCAGACCAGGACACTGGGAAACAAATAGGCCACTAGTAATAATTATGCTGGAACATCAAGTGCAACTGGGATTGGAAAACTACCTAAAATTTGATTTTCTTTGGCGTTTCACCTGGCAGTGTGCTGAGCTGGGAGGCTACGCTCCTGGAGATCTGTAACTCCCACCACCTCTCCAAACCAGCATTCTACTGTGCATCCTCCTGAAGAGCTGTGGGGACAGAAACTAGCCACCCAGTGGTCCGAAACACTGCCGCCAAGGGTTGAGAAAGCAGGTCACTTGCAGTCAAATTATTTCAAATACACTTTAACTTTCTCCCTCTCCATTTTCCCTTTCCTACATCACTGCACGCCATGTATATCAAAGCAAGCTTTGAAAAGAACACAAGATATTAAGAAATACAGTTTCAGAAAATGGTGTGCAATTCTTGCCCTAGGGTTTAAAAAAAAAAGGCGTGGGCCGAGTGTATGTTTTATGAGCTCAGAGCTTCCTTTCCTGTTCAGAGGCATGTGTCTGGCTTTGCCTCTCCACACTACACAGCCAACTCCTAAAACCACTGAGTTTCCTTGTAAACAATTTACAGCCAGTCTAGGCCATAGCACTGTAAATATAATGCAGAAGTAAATTATGCAGAAGACCAATTGTTGATACTTATGCACAGGTGAAATCTTTTTTAAAAATCCTCCCCTTATTATTAATTATATCGTGTCATTTATTACATAAAACACAGGGTCGATCTTTAATGGTTATATACAATTTAGCTGAAAGAAAATTGTTTTTTATAATATTAAGAGGACTATTGTAACTGATAAGAATGACTTTACTTCTCTCTACTGTTAACCCTTGAGATTCAATAGCTCCATAATCTTCAATTTAACAAAGACATTTTAAGTAATTTGATGCCCAATGTGCTGGGGATACAAAGATGAAAAAAGACAGCATTTCCACCCTCAAAACTTTAACAGAAGGCACAAATGAGTAATCAGTTAAACAAAACAGCGATAACAAAGGTTTACAGAAAATGTACAGGTTCATGTATGAGGAAATACACAGAAATTACTGAACAAATTTGGGTTGAGTCCTGAAGAAAAAAATGCATCTCTGTGGCCCGTTGAACAGTAGGGTGGCCAGGGAGGGCGTTTCTGTGAAGGAACATCAGCAAACACACAGGTGCGTGGAATACCACAATGCCGCTCAGGGACCAGCAACTACATATGCGGCTAGAGAGATGGGGTTCTTCATAGGAAGAGAGATGAGGTACCTGAAGAGAAACAGGCCAACTTCCTTCCTATTTGTATCAGGACTTAAGTGATCCCAATAGCCCTACACAAACTTCTGGAATAAATTCGTGGGATATGCCAGCGAGAGTCAGAGACTGTGGTCCGAAAGTGGACGGCAGAATGAGAAGGGCCGGGCTGACAGCAAGTATGCAAAATTTCCAGGATTCCACGAACACATTCTCATGTCTTAAATTAAGTAGCTAAAAGTCTTTTATACAAATCTGCTTGTTTTAAGAGATAGATCCCTTGGGACAGTTACTGGGGCTCCTAAGATCAGTTCTCTTCCTGGGCACAGTATAACAGTTCTTCTCTTCCCTGCCCCCAAATTAGATGTGACTGTCAAACTTTCACTGGCCAATGAAATGTGAGAAGCAATGTGTATGACTTCTGCCTGAACAATGGTGCCTGACTCATTACATGCCTGTCTTTGCCATGGCAGAGTGACAGAGTGCTGTCTCCACCTGCCTGCACTGAGTCAGGAAATGTGGAGTGCAGGCGTCATTCAACCCATGCTGGCCATGGGGTGTGAAGGAGAAATAGGCATATGTTGCTTTAAGGCTCTGAGTTGAACGGTCTCGTCTTCTTTTTAACCCCACAAAAGTCCACTATACCTGACAAGTCTTTCCTAATTTCAGGCAGGTAACTGGCCCAAAACTTAGAGATGAGGGACTTGGGGATTCTCCTAAAGGAAGCTGAGTTACTTACTATGTAATAAAGTACTTGGCTTCGCCCAAAGAGCAGTCTGGCCCTTGTTGTTGGCTTCTGGAAGGTAATCTATGTCATACCCAATGACATAGATTTTTGCTTAGGGCAAAGTCGGCTGGCTGCACCTAATAATCTTAAGGTAGAGGCTGGAGGCTGTCCAGAAAGACCAATCACATGAGTCAGTGTAGAAGCCTTGGGTCACGTGGTCTCGGTCATCCTGGAGACAGACACTAACCCCAAGGACAATCCATCCATCATGTTTACATGATGAAGCCCCAATAAAGGCTTTGGACAGTAAAGCTCAAGAAAGCTTCCTTGGCTGACAATAATTCAGTGCATTGTCACACACCTGTGTGGGCACACCTGACTCTATGGGGAGAGGCAGGTGGGAGCATCACTTGGAATCTCCCGACTCTGCCTGACATGTTTTTTTTCCTTTGGCTGATCTGTATCTGTAGCCT